GGGCTTAGCAACCCCGAGGTATACCCGAGCTAGAGAGAGGCCAGCGGACCCCAATAGACGAGAAGTTATGAAATATTATGTTAAAATGGCCAGCCACAGTTAAGGGGGTATCCTGAATTAGGAGGTCTAAAAAAAAGCGGTTTTTCGTGAATTTTTTAAGATGGAAAAAAATAAGTAATTCTATCCAACTTTTTATCCTATTTTCATACATATTTGAGTAGTCTGTAGAAATTTTTTCAACAAGAAATATTCAAATTGAGTCGACTGTGACGCACATTTGTAAAGCACCCCATAATTGAAACCTCTTATCGGCGGGAAAGATGCAGGTCGTAATTTTCGTTTGACACAAAAAAGCCAAAAGAAATTTTCATTTTCATATATTTTTCTTCTATGTGAAGTAAGAAAAATACGCAAAAATTGTGAAATGTGAAATTACTGCAAGTTTGAAAAAAAGAACGAGTTCTTTGTGTGGAAAAAATTACTTTAACTTGATGAAAAAATTGTTTGAAAGTTTTTTTTGTATGAATTTTCTTAGTTCACATAGAAGAGAAGTGTATGAAAATGAAAATTTCTTTTGGCTTTTTTGTGTCAAACGAAAATTACGACCTGCATCTTTCCCGCCGATAGGAGGTTTCAATTATGAGGTGCTTTACAAATGTGCGTCACAGTAGACTCAATTTGAATATTTCTTGTTGAAAAAATTTGTACAGACTACTCAAATATGTATGAAAATAGGATAAAAAGTTGGATAGAATTAATTATTTTTTTCCATCCTAAATAAATTCACGAAAAACCACTTTTTTTAGACCTCCTAATTCAGGATACCCCCTTAAGAAGGATGTAAACATAGTTTAAGTAAGAAGTGTAATTAACACTTTATCTACCGAGCTATTTACAAACTGTCGTTAATTCAAAAAAGAATTTCCTACAGTAGTATATGCCAATCTAGGCTGACAATAATTCCTTCATACTATTACTAGGTACATTGAAAGCCAAGTCTGTTTCCAAAAACTGAACATTGTAAGTAGACAACCATCAACACAGTAAATAAATTCAAAAAGCTAAATACTGGAATTAAAAAGCGTGTTTTTTTATAAATAGGCTCCCGGTAAATAAAGTGTCAAGAAGTTGTTAAGTGTAATAACCACGCGAAAGTGGTTTATCGCTTGAATAAACATCGATTAATCAATCGTGGGTTTTTCCGAGTTTACGGCATAGCCGGCTGCCGAGTATCGGAATTACGCGAAATTCTAAAGACCTCGTAAACGGTCACGTCTAAATCGAAGGATTTTGGAGTTTTTGCTGCTGAAGTTTGATTTGAGATGTTTGACGAAGGATGAGAAGGCAGTGTTATTTTAAACTAAAAATAATAGATATTATGTTGTTATGCAATAATATCTCTACGAAGACAGTTTGTTTTAACTTTTGAAAACTTGAAAATTTAATATTTTAAAACGCTGTAATACTCTAGTAAGGTTTCATCGAATAATTACAGATTACGACTACAAAGTATACACAAGACTTGCGATTACTGATTTATGATTGCAGAGTATGCGTGTAGCTTATAATTATTGATTTACGATCGTCGGGTATGCATGTAGTTTTTGATTGTTGATTTATGATTGCTGAGTATACATGTAGCCTATGATTATTGATTTATGAGTGCAGAACACACGTCTATAGCTTATAATTAATCGAATAATTTTTCGTGATTACATTTATTAATCGATTAAACAATTAATCCTAAGGGAACCAATTAGTGGAGAACTTTGTTATGGCTTAATTGACAAGCGTCCATTTTAATACTCGAGTTCTGAATCCAGTCATGGAAATGTTAGAATATGAAGATCATCGAAATTATTTGATATTATATTGCTTATTATTTTATATATGAGTCTGCTATAAGAGAGAATCATTGCGCGCGTCTTTTCATTTATGACATATTTCCATCGAGACCTCTGTGGCATGACACTTAAATTGCTTCGACCATTATTTGATACCAGAAGAAGATCTTGAAAGTTACTATTGTTCTTGGAAGTCTTTAGTTGTCTTGAAACTCTTGGTTGTTCTTGAAACTCTTGGTTGTTCTTGAAACTCTTAATCGATCTTGAAACTTTAAACGAGTCTTTGCGTAAATATGTAAATGCATTTATGTGTTCATAAAGTTTTCCACTTTTTCTCAAAAATGCATTTCACACGATTTTTTTTATCCATTATGGCTCAAGAGAAAATCAACTAATATTCTATGTCATGTCGAGAAAATTTATTTAAAAAACAGTTTAAAATGAATTACTTCAAATGATACGAGTAAATATACTTTTTTGAATAATTGTATCTTATCAATGTGTAACATGAAATTATATTTATCTAGCAGTTTCGCAAAAGTGCACGACATATTGTGTTACAACAATAATGTTTACTTCACTGCTTTCTATTTCTGGTTATTTTAATTAGTGTCATGATTCTTGTCATCAGACTAATTATAAACAGACAAGCTCTAGTTTCATAGTTTTTAAGAGTACCATCAAGAAATTCCCAAGTTTTAAAAAGAAAGCATTTCTCATCCTGAAATACTGCCGAATGAACGGATATCCTGTTAGTTTCCAAGGAAATAAATACGCAAAAAAAGACTGAGAACGTTGTTGTCCCAGTTGTCGGAATAGTTTACGGTAATGATTATAGTTTCCTTTTTAGTTAGTTTCCTACTCTTGAAGTTGACGTCGAAATTAGGTTAATTAATCTTTTTTATCTTGACTGTTAGAAGTAGATTATTTGAATTAATTATTGAAAACCGAGTACAAAAAGAAATACTTTGCATCGAATAAATTAAAAACATTTTCTTCTCTTTTTATAAGATACTAAAAATGTCTTCAATATTACCTTTGTTTTCAATTCTTCTTGATAGTAATATCATGTATCTATATACATAATTTATTTTTATTATACAAATGAAAAGAATCATTTTATTCATATCAATTTTGAAATACAGTTTCATTAAATAAATTTTCAAGTGCATTTAATTATCATCGTCTTATTTTGAGAAGTTAATTTTGAAATAGAGTCGAATTTCTATTCGAACGATAAGTAACAAATACAAACGGCATTAAACAATTAAATTTACTACAATTCAAATTACAATTCTTATTTAGCTAACCGTGGATAAACAGTTGTCCATTTTTCATTAATTATTGGACATTTTTATGCGGATAAGACTTTTGTCTAAGTCTGTTGACCGCACTTCGATAAACATCGAAACATGAAAATCGTATTCCGCGACCCGAAAAACCTCGTGATGCATGCTTTTTATAATGAAAAACAACGAAATGTTAACTTGATGACTTTTTATCGCGATCCTCGGTATTCGTCCCAATGTGCGTCACCGAGTTTCCTTTGATGTGACCGCTCGTCGAGTGAGGCTCCCCAAAGCCAATTCATGCATTGGAAAGCCTTTGATCGTGTTGCCGCCAGCCGCACACCGTTACGCCACGTACACTAAGATTGGGCACACGTATATTAAGATTGGACACACGTACTATCGGTTGCTTTGGCTCTTTGACTGTGTTTGTGCCACTGATGCCAGAATCGTCGCAATTTTTGCGCGTGCGCAGCCAAATGCAGCGACGTGCATAAGCAACTCTGTGGGAGTCAAAGTCTGATGGACCCTCCAATCGACGAGTAAGGCCAAGATTGTTGCGTTCTTTTAATAAAATAGCGATAAAAAATTTTAAAAAATTTTAAAATCTATCATATAAACGTATACATTTTGGAAAACTTATTTCTTTAGACGACAAAGTTTTAAAGACTTGTAAAGCTTTGTAAAGGTTGAAAGAGAAAGATGTCAGATGATTTGACTGATCTATTAGGTTGTCCCGAAAGTTTCTTTCGCGAGTTGCGCTCAATTATTTTATGTGGTCGTGTTTATATAAATAGACAATCTAATTTCATAGATATTCATGTTGTAACAGTAATGGAGCAAAATGAATCGCGCACAATTTAGTAATGTTACATAAAACATAAACTATTGTGCATCACTAGTTTTCTGTTTATTATATTTACAATGCACAGAACTTGTTATGTATTGATTGCAGGAAGAGCTATATACAGTGGGTGTAGAATGTATTCGTATACCGATCAATTTCCCAAAAAGCTTTTCTGTGAGATTGTAGTTTCTTAACTTCTTTTCTATAATCAAAATTTTACACATTCTCGGAAGTCTCTAAGATAGATATAATCCAAACAACATTTACTAGTTAACATAATTTGTGAAATTAACAAAAAAATGCGAAAAGTCGGTAAATGTATAGAAGCAATAAGTATTTGTACGATTCTTATGACGAACCATTTACAGTAGAGTTTGTAACGTAAACACATTAGTTTATTGCTCCGTACGAATTAGAAAACATCCCAGTAAAGTACTTTTCAAAATGGCTCTAATAGAGGAATAGAAAAAGATCCCACTTCGAATAACTAATAATTTAGTTAATTTAATGCTTAGAAGAGTTACAATAATAATAAAATCAAAAGGAAATCCTACGAAGTATTATATTATAAATTAATGTAAATGTTTTTTTTTCTTAACGAAGTTTTAAAAATTAAACAATTGTGCGAATTTATTCTTAACTTATTGCTTCAATATTTCTATCGATTAATTGTTTTTTTCTTGTTAATTTCGCAACTTACATAAATAGCTATTTTTTTTTGTACTCTATCTATTCTAGAGATTTCCGAGAATATGTAGAATGTCATTGTTTATAAAAAATAATTTAATAAACTACAATTTCACATAGTTTTTTTGGAAATTGATCGGTGTACGAATACTTTCTACACCCACTGTATCTCCTTGAATTTAAACAAATAATTATAACGCAATTCTATTTACAATTACATCAAACTAATATTCCGTTTCAAGGTATATTTTTAAATTTTCCCCCTTTTATTCACATATATTCATTAACATTTAAACTGTATTTTTAAATGACATGTTAGGGTCCATGTAATACCCGTTTTATTCACTAAGGACACGTGACTGAGGTCTTATTTGAGGCGCATGCGCGAGAAATGAGGTCGTTCTGGCATCGGTCACATGCGTTGGAAAGCCTTCGATCGCGATGGCACACGTAAGGAACAGTTCCGCCAGCGTACGCCAATGTTCGAGCACATGTGCCGTCGGTGCGTAACTGCTAAACCAAGTGTAACAGTGGCCAAAGCAGAAAGGTTTCTTTATTCATAACCAGTGAACTCTGAACATTAATTATTAGTTATTTTATTCGTTCATCGCATGGAAACGACGATTCGTCGAGAAAATATTTATAATGGAATGGACCGACGAAAAAGCTTTAGAATTAATTGAGGCGTACAGGAAGCATCCTATATTATGGGACCCGACGAATCAAGGTTTTAAACTGACAAGAAAGAAATTAGACGAATGGAAAGAGCTATCGGAGGAAATTAAAGTGAGCGTGGACGAGTCGAAACGAAAAATAGAAAGTTTGCTCACATCGTACAGAAGAGAGAGACAACGAGAAGGCACGAGCTACGGATTAGGAAAAGACGAGGTGTACCACTCCAAGTGGTTTGCGTTTCAAGCAATGCAATTTTTACATGATAAGTTCAAACCAAGAAAACCTAGTAAAACAACGTGTATGACGCATGTAAGTATACAGGGTGTCCCAAAAATGTTGGAAGTCCTTGAAAAGGGTGGTTCAGGGGGTGATTTGAAACAACTTTTTCCTTAGCGAAATTGTTGCCCGAGGCTTCGTTGAGGAGATATTAACGGAAAACACTGACCAATCAGAGCGCGCGTATACTGTTGGAGCGGCCGCGATAGCGATGGCTACGCGCTAGGTAGCCGCTCTCGTACGCGAACAAGTGACTCGACGTGCATCGAAGGATATTGACGCGATCGCTCAGCGCGTAGTCTTCGCTACCGCGGCCGCTCCAACGGTATCCGCGCGCTCTGATTGGTCGGTTTTTTTTTATCAATATCTACTTAACGAAGCTCCATCCGACATTTTTGCAAAGGAAAAAGTTGTTTCAAATCACCTCCCGAACCACCTCTTTCAAGGACCTCCAACATTTTTGGGACACCCTGTATTTAATCGGTAATGTCTTTTTTCTTTATCTGTTATTTATAAAACGGTAATACTTTATGTCGTCAAAATATTATAAAGAGGATGGTCCAATAACTCTGATCGTAACATCTCTGTTTTCTTGAGAGATATGAATAAACTTAAAAAAGCATTATTTCGAAATCACAGACAGACACTTCAATTTTATTTATATAGATGTATAGATTATATGTAGAAATGTTGCACCTTTTTAAAGAAAATTCGTATAACTTTGAATCTGTACAATATAATAGATTTCTAGGCTTCAAAAATAAAAACAAAAGAATAGTATCGTAAAGAGCTGAAGATTCACTTTTAATTTTAAATATTCTGTTAAATACTTCTCTCATTAATATTATCAATTATTGTTCTAATGTTTCACTTAAAATATTCTATTTCATCCGAAAAATTTAAATTTGATAAGAAACCACCACGACTAACGAGACAAACCAACACTATAACAGTATTAATATTTCATTTTGCATGATTGCATATATTCAGCATACCGTGTTCGTACACGTCACAAATACATAAAATCCACATTTCGCTTATAACACGTCGAAGTTTCAACAAAATTCAAAATGTTACCGCGTAAAGTATCTAATTTCACGTTGAAACGATCTAGTATGTAATTCCACGCAATTTATTTTCTTAATTTTCACATCAAGCTCCAATCAACTGATCTATATTACTTTAGACATTAAAAGGTAACACCAACTTCTGCATACTATTACTGTCTATATCAAAAGCGTCACGTGTTTCTAAATATTATAAAGCAAATAGACACTGGGACAGGAAACGTTGCAAATATTTGAATTTCATTTGTACACGTCACAAATACATCAAATCAACAATTCGCTTATAACACGTCGAAGTTTCAACAAAATTCAAAATGTTACCGCGTAAAGTATCTAATTTCGCGTTGAAACGATCTGATATCTAATTCCGCGCATTTATTTTATTAATTTTCATATCAAGCTCCAATCAAGTATTCACGACAGCGAATCGGAGGGTGACGTTTCGCCGTCGCCATCGATCGAATCGGAGGCGAACAGACCGGAAATGATAGGAATAATGGGAAATAATAATGTACCCGAAAATATTGGATTAGCGGAGCTACATTCATTAGAAACTCCTGTTCAATTCGCGAAAAGGCGGAGATTTTCGCAAAAAAGACAACTGCCCTCGGAGCTGCCCCTTCAGGGGGACACGAGGCTCGACGAGGCGTACATGTTAATAAAAACTCTAGCTGAGAGGAAGACGGATCAGAGCGAAGACAGTATTTTCGGGCAATACGTTGCCAGCCAACTGAAGAAATTTGATCCGCGGGTCAAAGTTTTGGTGAAGCACCAAATAAATAATATCTTGTTCGAAGCCGAGATGGGAACTCTTCAGCAAAATAGCATGGATCCACTTCGAAATCATTCGAGGAGCAACGATGCAATACCACCCCCAACGGCAGCGCGAATGTCGCCGATTCCAGTGACGACGGAAATTCTTAAAATTGAGCCACACAGTAGCCTTCACATGGAGCAGTTTTTGTAATGACGTGCACCAAATGGTATCGCATGTGATATTATTCTAGAGTCTTTCTTTTTTTGTCGTGAGAGAGGTCTTCGAAAGACTTTTGTGGATAAAGATCCACTAAACCCTCACGGTATCCTACCTCGTAAATTATACGAGGACACTGGGAATGCCATGAGGCATACCCAGTGCCATTATTCTGGCGGTTAGGTTTTCGTGCGTTGGGTGCGAAAAATGGGTGTTTATGGCTGTGTCTGAGAGAGACTGTTTAGAATCGATTTCGAGTATACTAAGAGAACTCCTAGATGTACTACTCTCGAATTTGCATAAAATTTCGCATGGAAGGCTGCTTCTCTTATTTGAAACGACCATATTTACTTGATTTGAGTATTTAAAAAACAATTTCACCACCAATTTTTAGCATTAGAATTTTCGTTTTGCATTCGATATATTTTCTTTATGGAAGAATATTATCATAGTTATTATGTGTGTTTTTTTTTTTTTATAAAAATGAACACGTGATAAATAAAGATCATCAAAAGATTCGTTTATATAAATCTGATCCAAACACTAACTATATAGATTAGTATAAATAATATGTATATGTAATGTATATAATTACATATGGATATATTTTATATGTTAATATTTATATTAATATATTTCACCCATTATTGTTCGATGACATGTTTAAAATATGAATCGTATTAACAGTGATTAATATGTAATATTGTATCAGAGATGATCAAAATTTCATTCCAATAATAGATGACAAATGTAACCAACAGGCGATTTATTTGTATCATTTATTTTATCGAACAGCTCAATTTTAATTTACTTATCGCGAAATTTTCGTTCTACGAATAAGAATTGTACTAATCTCTGTTCTGCATCCATTTGCAAACAACATTTGTCTATCCACTTATACAATAAATATACTTTCACTAAAAAATTTGGAGTATCGTTATCGTCTACCAATTAGAGTAGACCCTAGAGTACGAATTCAACCTCTTAATTGCCTGACAAATACAGTGAAAGTGCTCAACTTTACATACGCACAACTTTTAAACCGTTGGATCCCTAACATTAAAACTTAGATCTATGAATTCCAGGCATCAAAAACTACTAAATGGTAAAAAAAAAAAAGGTTGATAATTTTTAATGTCCCGAAGTAAAGTTCAATCATTATTTCTTACTCGGGATAAAATTGACCCAACTGAATTTTAACGAACGTCACATCTATAAGACATTGCATAACACGAATGATCAAGATCCCACAATCGCAACGTACACTTAAAAATATAAACGTCGAGTGCCATCAAGTGCCACTGTTTTTGCTTTCAATTACTTACGGTTGAAATTTATCTACGAGTTTCTCAGACGTCCGGTTCTCTCCTGCTTAGGACGAAATAGGATTGTACGACTATTACTGTCCGAAGTTTTATCATACAGCCATGAATCTCTGTGCCGTAAATCTCGGTTGGAGATAATCCCATGAGTAGACGTCGAATAGCCGCCATGGGAAAGGCTCAGAAGTACCGGAGAACGTGCAAGGCAGAGAGAAGGTGTCGCCAAGAAAGTCCTTATCTTAAACGTGGTTGTGAAGCATGTGGAGCAACAGAATTGTAAATCAAGATCTCTACTAACTTTGTAACAGCCATGAAATTGCTTTAATTAAACAACCGATGCGGGGATCGGGATTTAGTTTGAATCATGTATGCAGCGTATTCCCAATCCAAGAACTTCACTCTAAGAATTTTTATTTCATTAACACTAAACCTACCGAGGTTTCATTTGTACCTATTTTTACTGGTATCGAACAAACGTCTAGTCTTAAAAACATTTTTTTTCAACCGAATGTTTTTTTCAACTGAAAAAATATTTCACGTGGTACTAAATTGAACAACGCATGAAACAATTGTATATCATTTATACATATATTGCGTATAAGAGCTGTATACAAAAGTTTGGTAACCGGTTTAGTGTTAATTTGATAGATCTTTAAGAAGATATTCTAGTCTAGATCGTAAATTTCTAGTTCCTTTCGAGGATTTTTTTTTAAATCTATATCGAATTTTTATAAAGGATTTCGCACAGATATTTATTTACATTTTAATTACATACACAATTTTTTGTAGATAAAAATATTCAAAATTAAACGTAGTACAAGTGAGCTTGTGCAGCCCCTCTTGAAAAAAGTACGTCCGTGGTCGTCACGATTATGTCCGTTCTGCTTATCTGAAATGAAAAAAATCAAGAAACATCTTAATTAATATCAGCGTCGTTTTAGCCCGAATCGGAATAATTATAAAATACTGAAAATTCAAAAAATGGCAGCTTTTTAATGTTTAAATATCGATCTTTTGTATTTTTGTTGTCCTTAGCGTATAAAAAAAAATATTTAGAATAATCAGATTTTGAAAACCGTGTTTCAGGCGATAAAGGCACACATGTTGAAGATTCACTCCAAATTTGAAGTCATTTGGTCTCGAGCTATAACGGCTATACAAAAATATGGTTACGAGGAAATCGGGTTTAAAGTTTTTCATATTAAATACGTATTATACTTACGATTGCAATTAGAACCCAATCCTCACTTACTTGCTTGTTAAATATGAATGTCACGTTTGCACATTTTACACATTAACCAACGAAGAAATTGTAGTAAAATATACAAAGAAATTTCAAATGCAGTGTCCAAATGAATTAGAGTTACACCTAACTTCGTTAATTTTCCGAATTCATCAAAAGCCTTTGGCAGATATATTTTTAAAGATCTACACTTTGTGTAAATGCACTAAAAAAAATCGATGTTTTGATAGTTCTAGACTAGAATACCTCCTTAAAACAAATGTGATTTTGATTCTAAAAATGAAAAGCATTCTTTCCCTACAAAAATGTATACATGTGATAACTTTAAATATTACTCATTTATTTCGTTAATTCAATTTTCGTTGCTGTGAATTAAATTTAAAATTAAATGCACATTTTCTGTAGAATATGCAAACTTCATTAATCTACATTGTAAAGAGTTTGTTGTATATGTATACAGAGGAAGCAATGTGAAATGTTTTGACAGGGAAAGTATTACTTTTATTTATTTTAAAATGTTTCTGTTAATTATTAACTTTGAAAGTAGAAATATATATTTTGTTTTTGCCACATTCGAAACAGATATTATAACATGCAATTCAATCAAACATAGCTCATTTATTTAATAAACGACTTCGCCTTTAATTTAATATATACCTACAAATATAAAAATGAGAAACCATAAAAAAAGTACACGTATATATAAAAAGAACAACGTCCAATGAAATATATGTAAGAGTTGAAAATATAGTCGACAAAGGACTAATGAAGATTAGCCAGTGAGTTCAAATTAAATTAAATGATGGCAAATAGCATCTGACTGTTTATAAAATTGTTTATTACTCTAGCTTAAAGATGGGAGAGAAAAGATGGAACAAAGACATGAATAAAATTTAACTCTGAAGATAAAAAATATTTCCAATCCAGAGTATTTTTATAAATTGTACGAGGAATCTAAGTTCCCAGGGGGATATGAACAAAATAACAAAATAGGATGAACCTTCGAGATTTATACGGAACGGTGTCATGATACTTTGATCCTCGAGGGGAGCTGCTATCTCTTCCGACAATACAAAGCACTGGACCAGTGCTTCCTTCCTCCTATACTATGCCACGACGGAGGAGGATCTGATACGAGCCTATTGTGAACACAGTATATCTCAGGTGAAGCAACAGACCACCAACCGAGTACGAAGGAATCGTGAACCGGATATCCCTTAAGCCCGATATTGTTACGTCCTTGACGTAGAATCTCGGTATTCGCCAGAAAGAATTTGTTAGATCTAATCACCGAATTTTACGAAAATTAGTAACGTTTATTTAATTTTTAAACATTAAAGATGTTTAACCTGGGAGAACTGTCGTTGAGATTAAATTTTAATTGAAAAATCTATATGCAATCTGATATTAAAACACGTCACTGTACTCCATTTTTGTAGTTAAGATTGTAACACGATAAATACACTTGTCTTGGATTGAAGCATAACGATGAATTTATAGGCGGATATTTTTTTTTATGTATAAATTTTTAATGCAAAAAATGAAACTGGATCGCTTTTTTTCATTGTTTTATATTCAGAATTTAAATACCGATCAAAATTATCGTCTTTTTATTCCAATAATAAATATCGTGTAAATGAGACGTCTACGACGTACCGCAAGCCTTCTAAAATTATCAAATAAAAAATCATGAGTATATATATATATATATAATATATATTTCATATAATTTATTAATTATAAACATTTATTCGTTCAATTTATAAATAATTATAAATACCTGCAATTTTTTTTCTAGCAGCAAGAAACGTTAATGTTAATGATGAAATGAGAAAATGACTCCATTTCTATAAGCTCTACATAAAAAGTCTAAATTAAAAACACTTTAGTGGTATATGGATCTATTCTGTATGAATAAAGGTACCTGACAATTCAGACTTTGACAATTTACCTTGTAATGAAAATGGATAAACATTTTACAACAGTTGCTGCAATTTGTTAGTATGATGTATCGTAGAATGTAAACAAAAATGTAAAACAGAATTTTAATAATTTTATTTAAAAGAAGATATTAGAGTTTCAAGGGTTCGAATCTATCAAGGTGACCTCAACTGTTTCTAGACAAAATATTTGAACACTTTTTACACTAAAATTTCTAGCCAACCGAATGCTAATTAACTTTTGCGTCAAACCTTTTTTCCCCAAAGTTGTCGACAATGCCTGATAACGGCCATTACGATAAACACCCTATAGAATCCGATAGAATGCGCGGTGAGGGATCTTCGACAGAGTATCTGGCACCGATGTCGACCGAAGGGGCATCCGGTTAGTTGCAAATTTTCTGCGAGCGAATCCATGTAGTCGATGGTCTCGTGTGGGACGCGCAAGGTCTCGAATCCCCTCCTCTCTGGTCGCTGCGCAGTCAAGGCCAGCGTTGACCTTCCCTGCGTTGTTCGCCAGCAGGAGGAGAGCACGCTGCTTTCTCGAGGATCATCGAGGATCTCGTGCCGTACCGAGGCGATACTACCGTCGTGGAAGTCCATTAAGTTCGGGGCGTCCCGTTCCAACGATCGTCGCAAATCATAGGTTTAATGGAACAATAAATTTATATTAATACTGCGTGGCGTTTTGCCACACCGAAGTTCCAATGTTTTTTCAATCGCATTCGCGAGATACCACCCGTCTTCAAAAACAGAACCAGCAAGTTCGGACTATGGTCTACGATTTCTCCAACCGAGTGCGATATATAGGAGTCAAACGATTTTCACTTTTAGTTATAGCTTCTAGAATAGATATACCGATGAAGATTTTCTTTCTTCGGTTTTCTGGTACTAAAGGGATTTATGTCTCTTGATACCAAAGAAATATGGTGATAAGATATATGCTTAGGAATTCTAGAATGAGAATTTAAATACTATCATTTGCATTAGCAATAATTAATATTTTTAATCGACTTCGAAAAAGGAGAAGGTTACTCAATTCGACACGTATTTTTTTTTTATGTCTGTTCACCGAGCACGCCGAGATATAGTAAATATTAAAGCTTCATATGAGCTGTTTATTATGAAAAAAGGGTAAGTCTACATAATGAAAAAATGGAATTAATGATGGATAAACTTTTATTCTGGTATTGTCTTTATATTTTCATTCAATTTAGAGATCCGTCTTTCTAAAATCAATATAATTTTCATAAAACAAAATTTCTTCTCGATAAGAATTGCATTGCATTCCAAATACAAAACTGTAAATATCTCGAAACAGAAAATAATGGACTTGCCCCATTTTCATGATAAACGGCTTATATAAGTATAGATAAAAAATCAACGTGAAAAAGGAAATGAGGGTTTTTGGAGGCAGCCTCCAATTTTATTCCACGATTTGAGAAAATGTGCAGTGATTTGCAGACCCATCCATCACATTGATGATTGATTTGTTGTTATTAAAGTCAAAAAATTAAATAAATAATGAAGATACATGTTTATCTATTTTTATCCCGCTATGAAAAAAATTTTAATTATAAAACAGAACCGAAAATTAAAATTGTCGATAAAGAGAAAGAAAAATAAATATTGGTAGAATTTAATAATAAAGAAATTAAGTTTTATGAAAATGTAGTCTGTCTAACATACAGGGTGTCCCAGTCTAAGTGATACAGAGCTCTAACTCCAAAACT